AACAATAAGTTATTGGGTTAGTACATGATGAGATGTAGGTCAGAAGGGTGATGAACGTGTTCAGATCCGAATTCCATACGCTTAGTTGCAGACTCTAAAAAAATTCATATAAATCAATTAGACTGGTAATGAACTCTTACGATGCTAAGAGCAATGTCTTAAGCCTATATTTTTTTAAATATAAAATGAAGAATCATATGATACAGGAATTTCGTTTGCTCAGCAGCATACCTCAAAAGAGTCACCAGCCATTAGCAACAACCACCAAATATATGACGGAGTCCAACAACAAAAGAAGATGATCACCACAACGATTAGCATTCTGAAATTTCACATATAAATTAAGATTTATTAAAAAAAAACCATTCAATCCTTTTTTGAGTGCAAATTCAACGCAACACTTACCTGATCACCCGCTGTTTAGCTACAGCACTTTTCTGTATGTGCGTAGAGCGGAGGCTACCCTCCGGTGGCAAGATATCGCTTCGTTTTCGTGCTGTATTCTCTCTACAAATAAGAATTTAGAGCAATTTGTTCCCGACACAATCCCACGGTATACTATAATCGTACACATAGGGTATTCGGTACATATATTGGTGCGAACTGGCATTTTAACAAATCATTAAATATAAAAGCTTTACCTCGTCTTAACATCATCAGTCTTCTTTCCAGTTCTCAGTTTTCTTGACAATTTTTGGAAGATTGACATTTTTTGCTTCTGCACATCGTTATTCTCATCAACACTGTCTGCAAAAAGAGGCAAATACCTTTGCATCCCTAACAGAGCTAATGCTGCAGAAAATTACCGGAACGTTTGCTCTCTTGATCCATTGAATCGACTGCGACTTCTTGACGTATACCAACTTTCAGTGTGCGAATCACAGATCCATAAAGAACTGTCATGATTATTAATGGAATAGCAAGCAGTACAATGGTCATGTACACCTAAAAATCAAAAATCCCTCAAGATATTCGTGCAAAGGCAAAGAAATTAAAGTTATCAATATAATTTATAAGAAACGCTTTGTGAATGAATCTTAATTAAATAGCTCACAGCTAAACATTTATCGATTAGTTGTTGATTTACCTGATTGGCAAAATGGTAGATAGGTTTGTAGATCGGTGTACATGTCAAGCC